AGGAATCTTCTTTTTAGGCCTGTCACAATGAAGCTTAGAAATAAAAAGTTACATTTTGGAGGGCTTCAGACGTTTCTCAGATAGCTGAGATTTTTTATTGTCAGTATTTTTAGCAGAACATTACTCTTTATTATTGACCTAGGCTACTTGTAACTGTATAAAAGAAGATTTTTAGGAGCTGGTGCCTTTACCCAAAGAAATGTTTCAGTTATATTGATTCTTTTATTGCTGATTTTAAGTCAAATAGTCGCTACGCTTTAATTCTCAAAGAGCTAGAATTCTGACAGAGAGAGAGACGAAAAATAGATAAATGCATCATTTTAAAGTTTGGCCGACTACATTTTAACTTGGCCGTCTGCTCCTCCAGTCGTCCTGGACAACCTACGCATTCTACCCGCAGGTGCAGAGGTGCCAGCCCTCGCCAAGCAGGACGGAGATCAGGGAGTGAGCTGAAGTAGCTGCATCATTAAAGCCCCAGACGGGGGGGTAGAGCCTATAACCGGAACGGACTAAAGCACAGAGCAAAGCCCCGCGACAGCAGGGACACTCGAAACCCCGCGGATGACTGCACGAAAGGGAAGGAAGGAAGGACAGATCTGAGGACAGGTGAATCTATTTACTTTGCATAAATTACACAAAAGTAAAACCATCCTTACATACTGCAATTGCACTGCACTCGCATTGGTAGAAAAGAGGAAAACCGTCGTTAATGTGCCTACCTCACTCACTGTCTCCATCGCACTCAGACTAGTGGTCCTGATGGTGCTACTGCCTTGCTCCAGCATCTCAAAGCACTGTTATTCGGAGGGGGGAGCGTTGCTCGTAGGGCAAACTGGGCTGACGTACCGTCTGACGACATAGAGCCGACCAATCAGGATGTAATCCGATAGAATTCTTACCAATCCGCTCAAAAGGAGAAAACGGGATTGCACGCATAGAGGAGTAGCAAGGTAGATTGACGCTGTGAGAGAATTTCCAGTCAACTCCTGCAAACTACTTCACACCAAATCACACAACCGTCCAGCTTGAAAAACAGATAAAGCAGGTGAATGGGTTAAGCCAGTGTGCAGTCTCCTGGGGTGTTCATTTTAATTTATTTAAAAATGTAGAGCTGATGAAACCTAGTAGGCATAAATCTACAAAAGGAAAGGAGTCATTTAGTATGTGCAGTGAAATACTGAGCTATGCTAAAAAGACTAGTAGAATAGTAAAAATGAAGATTAGGAAAAGAAATATAAAGGATAAATAGTCAAAGATTAAAACACATGTTCTTACTTGGGGATAGCCTCTAAAGGAGATTATACTGACAGTGTGAAAGTGATCTGCTGACCGGACCCTATCTACTGTAGGTGGTTTCCCACAGATACACACATGAAAAGCTCTGTGACAGTACAGATGCAGTGAACGATTCACATTTCATATACAGCACAAGTTGGCCAGAGACAAATGAAACAATGAATTTCAACTTTTATTGCTTTTAGATCAGCAATAAAGTGAACCAGCCTGACAGCATGAATCAGGAATTTTCTTGTACAAAGCAAGGTATAACTGTCTAACCTAAAAAATAAAATTCTTCATTGCAAAATCTTTGTTCAAAATAGGATACAAATGTCCAAAACAAACATGATGGTCACCTATCCCCTTGTTTATATTATATACTTTCAATATTATAAATAAAATAATTCCAAAATGCTTTTAGTATTCTGCACACCAGGTGCTAAAAAAGGCAAATGCAAAAATGTCGTGTTGAAGAATAAAAGCCCAGACAAAATGATACAACAGCAGAGTCCACAAATTGAAACTATTTCCATGAACCAGCATGCAGCAGCGAAAAAAAAAAAAGACCGAATTGTACAATAACCATTTAATGCTAGAATAAAACAGAAGGTGTGGATGGGAAAGTGAGTCAAAACGTATCTAAAAACACATTCATGAATTATTTCAAGAGTGGGACTGTAAGATTTAGACATGTAGTGGTTATACCTGTCACTTTATTCCACCCAGAACTGTAGATTAAAGTCATCATTAAAATGTATTTGTAGTGACTATTTTTTATTTCAGTTGAACATGAAGCCCTGTGATACACTAGCGATCCATCTGGGATGTACCCTGCCTCTTGCCCATTGTCAGCTAGGATAGGCTCCAGCATGGCCCCCCACCTTGAATTTGACATGACACGTCCATTTAATCTGCTAAATTTTGTTTTACAAGGCAACTGGCACTTGTTCTAGCAGCTAAAACTAATCATTTTCTGTCAAACTGTGTCAAATACTAAATGGTAATATATGAATAAATAAGATACAGTGAGTGAAAATGTACACATGGGGTAAACCTGTTAGTTAAAGGCACACTCCTTCATATCTGTGACCATACGCCACACTTCATCCACATTTATCGCTCTAATACTTACCATTACAACCCGCTTTTCCACATCATTTACAAGAACATAGTTTCCTTCTATATCCCTACATGTCATGTTCTCTTTAAATCACTTATCTGTATGACGTTCAACCAAACACTTCCTTTATTGCTGGTATTTTTATTTTACCATTAAACTTTTGGACCCGCGACCCTGTTTGGGACTGAGCAGTATAGAAGATGAATGAATAATCCTTTGGATTTATTTGACTAAACTGTGACTGTGACTTTATTTCAAAGAACACTTCTGGGAGGAGCCTTTTGGTGGTGGTGTTTGGGAGACTTGGGGGTTGGGGGTTGGTTATTGGAGACTTGGGAGTTGTCTGGAGGGGGCCACTGTGGTTTAGTTAGCTGGATGTCTTCCTCTATTCTAAATGTCTTCTTCGGGGGATCGGCCTGTGGAGGCCAAACTACAGATATTTTGTTGCAATGTGCTTTTGTCCTTTTGTTTTGCCCACTGTGTGTTTTGTCCTCTGAACCGATGCTGTTCGCGGAGTAACTCCTTTCAAGTTTCTCATTTGAGGGGGAAGACACGTCACTTCCTGTGGGAGGTTTCTGCCCAAGTCCGTTATCATAGTTCCCTTTGGACTTGAGGAGTTGTTTGTAATGGTGTAAACAGTAGAAGTGTCCATGGAGAGAAACATAATTTCCTAGGCTACAAGAAAAGAAATATCTTCAGTTGAGCACAACATCAAAATCATAAAACAGCGTTATCTATTTTTGCACAGTACTGTCACAGAAAAAACAAACCCAGGGATTAACTATTTAATATCTCAAGATTCAAAGAGTCTCTGGTGCCCGTTAATTTCAATAAGTGCCTTACTTACCTTAATTTATTTCCGCAGTGCTCACAGCAGAAACAGGATTTATGGTACTTTTTTTTGTCCACCGTGAGAGCATCCATTGGATAAGCTCTCCTCCGACATACTGTGCATAGCTCCGACTTCGGAACTCGAACCTATATGAAAGAGATAAAATGCAAGTCATTAGATTTTTTTCATTTACCTTACTGTATGTGAAACACAATTTCTTTTGGCTGCCACACAATGCAACAATGAACTGCATCTTTTTTCAGTTTTTACTGTGGTTAGTCTGGCTAATACAAAGCAGTACAAAAGACTACATTTGTATTTAAAATGGCATGTGACATGCTTATTCATTTGCTTATATTAAACATTTAGAAAAGTTGTCAGAGTGAATAGTTTCCTTGGGATTATATGTTCACTCATGCATGCACCAACATTCATGCATAACAATTGAAACTTGCAGGGTTTTCCCATAGAAGGGCTTAGAGCCTAAGCCAAATGTAAAAAGGTGACATATCAGAATGAATGTAAAAACAACGGTGAGTTATATGCAATGAAAAATAAAGGAGGCGTGACTTGATCTCAAAATAAAACATAATGTAAGACCTGTCAGTGTTGATTGACAGGTCATTCCCATTGCCAACATTGGATTTTCCTCTGTACCATCAACTCAGGATGGTAGTTACAGCCATCAATAAGGTTAGCCTCCAGAAAGAATATATTAAGGAGGCTATAACTTTGTTATGGCATAATTGTGAATCGTAACATCAGAGATAGCAGAACATAGCCTATTTTATAAGTAAAGAAACTGCTAACATAGCTAACATGTAGTGAATTAGCTATGTTATGTTAGCCAAGGTAACTGATGCTATATATGTATTATTTATATATATAGCATCACTTAAATTGGAATTTCCTTTGAATAATTTCACACCCCCAAATGTAAAAAATGCTTAAGCTGTTTGAAAACCCTGAATAGTATGGCTGCAGGGCTCATCATGGATGGATTAAAACTGATGATCTGTCCACCATTTTGGTCCAAACTGAAACATATCAAAAATTACAATTCCAAAACCCGAGAAGATTAACTGCATTAACTTTGATGAGCTCAGTATGCTTCCTCTAATGTCACTGTAAGGACAAATATTTTAGTTGACCCGTTACTTTGCTTTCTAACCAAATACCTTCAAAACTAATGCCATTCCCAACAGGCTCAGCTTTACTTTGTGCTTAGCGCTAATTAGCAGATGTTAGCATGCTAAAACTAAGATGATAGCCATTATACCTTCTAAATACCAGCATGTTAGCATTGTTATGGTGTGCTTGTTAGCATGCTGATGTTGGCATTTTGGTCAAGGCAATGTAGTAAACAGAAATGTCCATTTCATTAGTTTTTGCTGTTATGTTGTCCAGATCATTACCAGATGAGACAGTCTTCATTTGATGTGACAAAACTTGTGATGTGGTTTCTTCAGAAACAGTGTAGCCAAGACTTTTGAAAACTCTCTCACTTTCTGTCCACGTTGTGTGGAAGTTCCTCAGCAGCTTCTCAGTAGCATCTTCATCGTAGGTTTCTGTTCGCCGCACTACTGCAGGTTTTCTTTTCAATGCGTCAGCATAGGAGAGACGGGGCTGTTGGGTAGACACACTCTCAGAGCATTCAGTGACAGCTGTCCTTGTTCCGGTGACCTTGTTACCAAAGTGATCAAGATTTGAGAAATGTTCAGTAATTGATTTGGTTTCAGAGAAGGCTGCTGGTTCAGCTGGCACAGTTTCTACCTCCTGTTTCTGTCGAGGGAGGGGGGTGCTCTGCCATGAGCTTTCCTTTGTCTCATGAGGACTTTCCCACTTTGAAGTGTCTGCTGTTGTTTCACTCAGGCTTGGCACAGTCTGCTTCTGATCCCGTTTCTCATCTCTGAATGAGGAACTTTGCTCACCTAGTTCAAAAACATTTCTAATAGCCTGGATGTCAAAAGTTGGCATTTCCTCTTCCAGGGTGTCGTACTCTGTGCTTTCAGTATCTTTGTGAAGCTGCTCTTTGACTGGGATAAGCTCTTTTCTGATAAATATTTTTTCTTCTGCTGATTCAAATTTGTTTACAAGACTAGACATATCTGCCCTAGGAAACTCATCCAGTGCTTTTTTCTTCTTTTCTTCCTCACACTCCTCCAAGTCTGGGCCCAGTCGTTCGGGTATAACAATGGGCGCCTTTCGCACATAGGTCTTATTAATTTCGGCCTTTTGAGCCTCTTCAAAAAACTCTCTCTTTTCTTTGACAGATCCAGATGATGGCTCTGAAATATCTGAAGCTTCAACAAGCTCTGGATCATTTTCACACAATGGTGGGTGGGTCTTGCACTTACTTTGTATTTTATTTGCATTTGACCCCTCTGAAATGTTAGCTAGATCTTCGCCTACATGTTCAGATTTAAAATCAATCTGCTGAGCTTCCTCAGATAAAATCTTTTCTGTCACAAGCAACATTCCTGAACCCTCCATAACTTGTGACTCGGTTTTGATTTGCCGATGGAATGATGCAGGGAATTCTACGATCTCTGATTTTATCTCTGAGATCTGTTGGAGAGAAAGAAGTGGAGGTGGGGTGACGCTACGTGAGAGCTTGGCTGTTGTGTCTTTGAGTCGAGCCAAATTTTCTGCTTTGTCAAAAGTTGGAGAGGGTGTGATTCTAGTGAGAAGTGGTATTGGGGTGTCACACCTGCGAGGTGGCGGTGTGGGAGGTGTGGGTGGCCTGTGCAGCAGGGTAGGTGATGGAGTTACTCTTTGGGGTGAGTCAGTTTTTCGTGTGGATTGGATGGTGATAAACGTCGGCGAGGGAGAACGCGTCCTCAGTGATGGCGAGGGAGCCCGAAGGTCGACAGACGTGCACTGACTCATTTCTTCCTTCTTTCTTACTTGAGGGGTGCTTTTCTGTCTTTGGTTCTCAATTTTGGCAGAACCAATACTGATCTTGGATATTCTTGGTGATGCCCGGCCAGAAATGCCTTTCTCAGATACTGGCTCACATTCATGCTTCTCCATTGTCTCAGTAGTCTCTAAATGCATTAGTTTATCCTCTGCTAGTTTTCTCATATGTGAGAACATTTCTTTATTTTTACATGCATCACTTTTCACTGCAGATCCCTCCAGTTCACATTTTCTCTCTTGACCCATGAGCCAGTCTGGGACTGTTCTGAGCAGAGTCTTCACTGATTTAGAATCAGTCTTTTCTGAGATTCCTTGTATCTCTGTGATGTGAGGGATTAACACTTGGGCCTCTCGCATCTGAGATTCCTTTACTATTTCGGTTGTGGACTTGACCAGCTCACTCTGTTCTGACTCACCTGTCGCTGTAATTGGTACAACCCTACTTTGTTCTGGTGCTTTCTCTGCACTCAGCTGAAACACTGTCACTCCCTTCTTCTTTTGAGATGCCTTAACATGCTGTTGAACTGTTTTTTGTTGCTGGCTAGTCTGATCATCCGTGTTTTCTGTAGGAACGACTTCTTTATTAACTTGAATGTGCTCTTCTTTGACACTTTTCTGAATTGGAGCAGCCGCAATTGTTTCCTGAGTTTGGTGGGATTTTTCAGATGTGCTTGTCGTGGTTTCTATAGCTTCTGTCTTTGATTCGATAGAAGTTTCTTTACCTTGACCTGGCAGCGCAACCCCTTTAGACTTCTTGGACTTCTTTTTCTTCTTTGCAAAAGTTAGAGCTTCTGGTTGGCTGCCAGTTACGCTCACAGTAGCAGCAGGTGTTGGAGCAGCAGCAACAGGGGGAGAAACTTTCTTAATAGTCTGCTTTAACTCTGTCTTTACTTCTTTAGGTTCACTGATTAGGTTCACTTCCACCTTCAAATCTTGTGGAACACTCTGTTCAAAACTCTCATTGGACATTTTTATCCCTGCTTGCTCTTCTTGTTTATTGTTCTTTTTCACCTTTTTGTTTTGCTCTCCTGTTTTTCCATTTGTATGGGCAGCTGCCTTTTCTGTTAGAACTGGCTGATCAGAAGCTTCTTCTTGGTTCTTGGTGGGAGAACGATCAGTGTTGTTTTTGTTATCAGGCTGTAGTGATTTAGACTCCTTTACATCTTTGTCTGAGGTGACATTTTGTTCTTTGGAGGACTGATTGAAGAGATTATCAGGTAATTCTGTTGCAGTATTATCTTTTGTCTCGTTCTCAAAATGTGACTTGCTTGATTTTATATCTTTCTCAGTAGTGACAGCAATTTCAGGTTTTACTGTTTGAACAGGGATTTTATCAGGAAACATTTTGGCTTCCCTTTTATGTTCAGATTTGTTCGAGCCCTTTGGTTTTTGATTTTGAAAGTTTTTCTTTTTCTCAGCAGTCATGTTCTCAGTTTTTGCGACACCTGTGATTGAGGTCTGGACTTTGTGAGTCATGCCAGTTTGAGCAGACTGTTTGGAAGAAACTGAAACTGTTTTTTGTGTTGTTGTATTCATCTGTTGTCTAACAGCTGAGACAGATGAAGTCTTCTGAACGGAGACAACCTTAGAAGTCTCATTAGAGGCAGTCTGCTGTTTAGCACTTGATGTCACCAGAGAATCTGTGAGAATTTTTTCATGGCTGGTGCAAACATTACTTTGGGTGGCATCTGAAATGACAGCATGCTTGGATAAATCACGTGGCAGAAACTCTGAGTTCATAATTGTGTTTTCAGCTCTGTGCTGTGTGATTGCTGATGCATTGTTGCTTGACTGCTCTACGTCTTTAGTGGAAAGCATTTCAAGAGCAGCAGTAACTGAGTCATGTATGTCACTGGGAGGTGGAGTGGTCACGGGGGTGTTTTCCTCCTTCATCTTCCGGTACTTTTCTTCTGCTTTTATCAGTGGAGTGTTAAATTTACTCATTTTCCCTCTCATGAAGGGAGGAGGAGAGGGTGGAGGGGTGAATCTCACAGGAGAGATATAAACTTTCTTCAATGGACGTGGTGACTCAGGCATCAAAGGGATTTCACCTGAAACAGGTTTTACGTGTACAGTTTTTGATTGGTTTTGGCTCATTTCTATCACTTTCTCTGACGTAGCCTTCACCTGCTGTGGTTCACTTAAGTCCACTTTAAGCTCCAGCTTCGGGACTGGGTGCAAAGTCAGAGCTTTCACTTTTTTGACTGTCATCTTTTTTGCTTTTGCTGGTGAAGAATGAATTGCCTGGGCTGGCATGCCCTCCAGTTCTTGTTGAGATGGTGGAGGTGGAAGGAAGTCCTGCTCACTTGAGAGTGGTGGTGGTGGAGGAGGAAGGTGATCAATGTCAGAATCAACAGAGGGAGGAGGAGGAGTGGGAGGAGGAGGAGGAAGGTCAGCTTCTAGCACTGGTGGAGGAGGTGAGAGATGCAGATTAGGTTCCGGTGCTCCTGGTTTTAAGATATAAACATCAGTTTTCACTTTGGTTTTATCTAGTTTTATCATTCCCTTTGTGTTAGACTTTAGATTACGAAACTCTGTCTTCAGTGTTCTGATGCCGTGGTTTTGGGTAATAGTTTTATGCTCTGCCAGCACTGTTGATCGCTGAGCAGATAGCTCCACAGTATGTGCCTTTGTTCTAACAGTTTCAGTTTTGTTGGAGACTGAGTGGTTTTCTTTTGATGATTGAACTAAATTAGCTGTTTTTATCTTTTGGATGTTCCTCTGTGCATCAGTATTAAAGTTTTTAGCTGGAGGGCTCTGCCTGATTCTAACTCTTCTGTATGCTCCAACCCTGACTTTGGGAGTTTCACGCTTTGCTGTTTCCATCAGAGATTTGATTGTGCCTTTAACATCACCCTTTATCACTTCTTCTTTCTCTGCCTGGGTTTGCTCCTGTGTCTCATGTAGTGACTTAATTGACATCTTAATGTCACCCTTTATGTCACCCTCAGGGCTTGAGCTCCTTTGCAGCCTTGGTGAAGATGGAGGCTCCAGTAAGAGCTGAATTGTTCCTCTGACATCTCCATGAAC